GGAATAACCAGAGAGACTTACTTCATAGGTTGAGGTTTCTGGAAGACGCATGCACGTGCCATGCATTGGAAAGTGAAAAGAGTTTAGTGGACAGGGACTAACATTCCCCAGTGGGAACGTAATTACTACATGGTTCTACATCTTGGATCAAAGAGGAGAAAAGAGAGTGAGGCAGGAAATGTTTGCCTTTTAATAGACTTCAACAGTGCTACCTAACGACTTTTGACAAAACCAAGTGGGGTAATCATATTTCTGGTTCCTTTTACTCTTAGCATCATGGAAAAAAAATTGTGTTTCTTTTTTTTTTTTTTTATTAACAATTATTATTTTATTTCATTTTCCCAGAGGTGTGCCTATTGACATTGGGATAGTCTAGTTTTGCTTTCTTCTCAGGATCTATATGGCAATTTCCCCCACTGCCTTAACGGGTATTGAACTCACACTCTTTGGGTCCTGTCACTGGATCTAACTAACACCTTTATCCACTGTGCCATGTGTCCTCAAGGATAAAGGCATTAGTTAGAGTGTTAGTTCCATACCTGGTTAAGCCAGTGGAGAACTTTCAGAGGGAAATTAACAGGAGATAACTGATAACTGACATCCATTAAACATGGCACATGAAACTAGAACAGTCTACTCCAGTGGGTGAAATAAAGGGTTCAGTTTGACATTCCAACTACCTGAAGAAGACCAGAGCATACAACGGATGAAACGTTGTAATAAATATGGCGACAAAGATGAAGACAAGAGTTTGAATAATGTAAATAATGTTTCCAGTGAAATTCCAGTTTTCAGCTGTGTATTGAATTTCTGTTTTGCCAAAAAAAAAAAAAAAAAAACGTACTGGAAACTTTTGAATAGGCACCTAATATTATTTGTAGATCACTTCAATAAAACTACATCCATGTCCTGGTTAAGATGATAAACTACATTGGACAGCAAGGCCTCTGATCAGGAGGTTTTGAGGAGCGTGGAACCACCACTTAATTGCTGGTGTTCCAAAGACCACTCTGACCTGGAGTGGTAGCACCTGTCAGAGTCCCAGCTATGGGCAAATAAATAACCCCAAAATGGGGTCAAAACACTATGAAAATGTACAAATAGGTTTTAATATGATCAATACATTTTTGAAGGAAAAAAAAATTACCAGCAATGAAAATCTTGTTGGCATTAAATAACCCATTGAGGTTGATATGCTGTAAAACAAACCAAACTAAACCAATTCTTGAGTAAAAGAAAATCATCTATTAGATCAGCGCTTAAGCCTTTTTCATTCATGATCCCTAGTCGCAAAGATGCCACGTACATGTTTTATTAGTGCAGCGCTTGTGTGGTGCATCAAGTTAAATATTGTGCATTTATGAAATAATATATAAACTGAAATTCAATTTTTGAATTTAATTTTTGCAATCCCAGCATTTTACTTTGCAACCCCAAATGGGGTCATGACCCATAGTTTAAGAAGCTCTATATTAGATGATGTCTAAGCAATCTAAACTCAAAGATATTTTAATTTTTATTGGTCTAAACATAATTAACTGTTAATGTGACTTGTGGTATCATCACAGGTAGCGCCTATGTAAGTACCTAGATAGGTGACCACTTGAAAATACCAGTTGCTGTAAGCTTGGATGTGTGGGTGGTGTAAAGGAGTAATGGCTCAGAATTGTTAATCGGAGAACCAAGTTCCAATTCCAGTTGGGTTCATTATATTCACTTCTGCACAAGTACCCCTGGGAAAGGTATGAATCCACATATTCTCCTCCCCGACTAAGGGTTAATTTTTATTAATGTGTTTTGGCTATATAATCTAGCCAATTTCTTTTAAGATTTTATTTTTTTTTTTTTTTTTTTTTTTTTTTCAGGAATATAAAATAAATGTATAGAAATTACCATGGCACAAAATGAGGAACTAGTTTGTATATTGATTGTAATATACAATTGACCCCCACTTTATGTCCACATTCTTGCTTACTTATCAAATTCTGATTCCACCTCTTCTCTCCCCCAGCTATGGGTTAATTAGAAAGACCTGTATCACTAAACAATTATCTCCAAAAAAAAAAAAAATTCTTGCAATCTAAAAATATTTTCTGGCTTTAAATAACCTGTAAAGGGTTGATAAGCCAAATCAATGAATGAATCAATCAATTAAAGAAATCCACAGTAACTCCTAGACAAGGCAGTAAAATAAAACAGGACTATCATTGTTAGCAAGAAGGGCATCCCAAGATACGAGCCATCAATTGGGGATATCAGAAGCAGGTACAGAAATTTAAATAAGTGTTATAACAAACAGTGAAAAATGTGACAGTGAAATCCAAAGGCACATTGGAATAGCAAAAAATGCCTTCCAAAAGCTAAGCGAAGTATTAAGAAACAGAAAAACTTTGTTAGAAACAAAGAAAAGAGTACTGAATTGTTATGTGATATCTGTTCTATGTGGCAGTGAATGCTGGACACTTTTCTCACAGAGGGCAAGGATACTTGAGGCAAAAGATACTGAGAATACCATAGATGGATCATAAAAGCAATGAGGAAGTTTTATAGAAAATGAGACAAAATGGGGACTTGTAAGGGGAGAGAGGGCTTGGAGAATTTGACGCTCACAGGGCCTATTGAAGGTAAGAGGGGCAAAAGGAAACATTGTGTAACCCACCTAATGAGCTTGTGTAAATGGATGGTAGAACAGAGGCTGAAAAGGATAGGAAGTTGTGGAGAGCCATGGTCTCCTACATCCTGCAGGGACATGGTATATAAATAAAGAATCTAGACACAAAACATAAATAGGAATGTTCTGTGTTTTCTGACTGGGGGATTGTGGAAAAATTTTTATGTACTGTGAACAGCATGGTTTGAAAGAGTTTGTAATCCACTAGGGTATGGTTGTCAGCAAAAAAGTGCAAATTGGGGATTCCAAATTCAAACAAGTACAAAAAATTTAAATATCTGGGATGTGTTTTAACAGAGGATAGAAAGTGCAACACTAAAATCTGGTGGCATTTTGGAATACAGAATGATGCCTTCCAAAAACTAAGCAAAGTATTAAGAACTAGAAAAATTTCGTTAGAAACAAAGAAAAGGGTACTAAATTGTTATGTAATATATATGTAAAAGGGTACTAAACTGTTATGTAATCTTGTATGGCAGTGAATGTTGAAGAATCTCCTCGAAGATGATGAATAGACTTGAAGCAACAGAAATGTTGTTCTACAGAAGGATGCTGAGAGTACCATGTTAGCAATGATGAAGTTTTAAAGAAAATGAAAACAAAAAGAACACTTAACTTAACATCAGAAAGAGTTAAAATTTCTTTGGCTCCTGATGAGGAAAGGGTGCTTGGAAAATTTATACTCACATGACATATTGGTGACTAGAGAGACCGAAGAAAACAGTGCATAACCTACCTAACAAGCTTGTGTAAATGGATGGCAGAACAGATTTCAGGAGATGTAGACAAAATTTGCTAAGAGCTACAAAACAGCAGGAAATTGTAGAGAGTCATGATTGCCCACGTCCTGAAGGAACACGGCATATAGATGAAGAAGGGTAATGTGTTATTGACAGAAGTTAAATTCAAATGCTTCAGTTTCATTAAAATTCTAAAAATATCTTTTTAAAACAGATATTACATTTTATTTATATTTTATAACTAAAGGGTGTTCCAATAACTTGGACAATTTTAAATGTGAATTAAGTTTAAGCGTCTAATGATTTTTTTCTTTTTCTTTCAGATTTAACAACTTAAGTCTTTGGCAATTTCAACCATGGAAAGATTAACAATCAAACAACGTGTTAAAGTTATCAAAGCCTATTACAAAAATGGATGTTCAAACAGAAATGCATTTTACGCACTTCATGATTTTTTTTTTTTTTTTGGTCAACATAATCAACCAACCAAGAATGCAAATGGAAACTATATAATGTGGAGAGGTTCATTTCCTGTGTGCGAAGATGAATAGAGGTGTCTGGATTTTTGGCCACATTCTTGTGCACTGCAACAATGTTTTCAGCTGAACGGCGTAAATGACCACGCAGTGGTGTTTTCACATCTGCCACCAACCCAGTTTGTTTGAATTTATTAACAATTTTTCCAATTGCACTCATGAAATTTTAACATGTTATTTGATTGTTAATCTTTCCATGGTTGAAATTGCCAAAGACTTAAGAAAAAAATCATTAGACGCTTAAACTTAATTAACATTTAAAATCGGTCCAAGTTATTGGAACACTCTTTACTAGTTTCAACCTGTGAAAATTTCACAGCTTTCCTATTTGAAATTTCTGATGAAACTTAATACACTAGTTAATTGAATAAGCTCATAGGAATAGATAGGTTCACACTCCTCCCCTGTTTTTAAACAGTAGAGGTTTATCCCTTGTTTCCTGTTTAGGATTGGGTTTCCAGTTCCTTCTAAAGTCTACTTTCACGCTATACTTCTAATGCTTGTCCTTTCTTATGGTAACATAACACCACACAGTAACCTTCTATCTTGAATGGCTCTTAGATCTTGTATTGGGTAAATGTTAGTAATAAAAAATAAAAGTTCATGACAAGTTCTACAACAATAAAATATCTATAGAAATTCTGCTGTCACATTGTTAAATATTTGAGCTTAGCAACTTTAACAAAATATTGTGATAACAATCATGAATATAAATGCTGGTTCTTATTTTAAGAAGTGGGTACAAATGAAAAGATTTGAAATTGACAACTTTTTCCATTTCACTGGAACAGCTGTTAAATGCTTCTGTCTTACTTTCTTTCTTTCATTTTTTCACTGAAACCAAGTAGCATCTTTGATATGTTTGTTTTCTAAAGTGATCAAAATGTAATAGTCCATTATTTATGAGGTATTAGCAAGAGACAAACAACTTCACCAATTTTTATTTTTGTTTTGCTTTTGTTGTTTTTTGTTTTGCTTTGGCTTGTTTTTTGTTTTGCTTTGGCTTGTTTATTTTAACGTTTCTCTTTATTTATTTTTTAATTTAATTTTCAGTTGTGACGACGAGCATTGTCATTGTCATCCTCCTCATCATTCTGCTAACAATCCTCATCACTGGCTTGATCTTTTCTCGGAAGTGTATGGCTCGGCTTCCTTATTTGCCACAAGGATTATAATATATGTTTACCTGCTGTCTATCTGGTAGTCTGTTTGGCCATAGAAGGTTTGTCATAAACTGGTCCAGAAGTAGCACTTTCTTCTAATATGGATTAATCTCTCTCGTGTGTGTGTGTGTGTGTGTGTGTGTGTGTATATATATATATATATATATATATATATATATATATATACACACACTCTCTCTCTTCCCCACACACAGCCTCTCTCTCACATACACATGCAGTCTCTCTCTCTCTCTCCGTCCTCACACACCCTTTCTCACTCCTACACATGTACACACACTCTCCCTCTCACACTTACCCTCTCTCCCTCCCACCTACGCCCTCACACTCTCTCTCCCTTCGCACATCCACTCTCTCTCTCCTCTTCACCCCCACAATCACTCCCTTCCACATCCCAAGCACACACACACACACACACACTCTCTCTCTCACCACCTCTCTCTTTAACAAAGAAGCTCAACTACCATATTTAAAAAAAAAAAAAAAATTTCTTTTAAAAACATCCACCAGTTTTATTTACAATGTTGTAGTATCTGGTAGGCTGAGTGTTGATGTTGTTGATTACTGGTAATTGTAACCAGCCTAATTCCATCCATCCATCCATCCATCCATCTGCTTGGTGCCTCGTAGCACTCTGCTCTCTCCACAACTGCCACCCACGCTTCACCCCAGGATCGCCAGCTCACTGCACCTCTCTCTCATCCTCCACAGTCCTTTGCCATGTCATTCTTGATGCTCCCCGACTCCTTTTTCCAATGACCCATAAAGTGTGATCAATGAACCATCATCATCTTTGCTGTACCTCAACACTAAGTCACCTAAACGCTGTAAAAATATATGGACAATAAATGAGATTTATATGTAAATTTGAGGAACTCTTCCATTCATATTACATATCTCATTAAGCATTGCCATTTTCTTGAATATTATCATCTACCATGAGTGGTCCTCGAGCCTTGTATTAGGTGAAAGTTTAGTATGTTAAAAAAAGCTAGCATAACTCTTATTCTAATTTATTTTTTTAATGCCATGTCCCTTCGGGATGTAGGCAATCGTGACTCTCTACTCTTTCCTTTATCTGCAAATTGCCTTGCATTCTTGGAAAAGACAGAGAAGGGTTTTCACATTGTTTTCCCCATGATTTATTACACCGTTAGAGAGTCCAGTCTGCTTGGGTATTTAATCCATAGCTGGGGAGAAGGAGACTTGCATTAATACTTTTCTCCATTTGTGTGAAATTGAATGCAACAGACCAGACTGCAATTTGAAGTTGGCTTACCAATTTTACTTCCTTTGCCAATATCTGTTATACTACTTGCACATTCTTGATACTGTAATATTAAGTGTAAATAAGTGAATTTCATGTTAATAGCACCTAGTAGACTAATGTTTGCCCTGATGCTTTTGACTCCTACTAACTGGATGTAACCTAACTGCATAGAAATTTAATATTAAATCTAAACTGGCGGTTGTTGAATTGATCTTACTGACTGTAAATTTAATATTCACACATTTTACATTTTTAATATTTTCTAGAAATGTTGAATAAAACAAATGCTGAAGAAAAAAAATTTTCTATATATATATATATATATATATATATATATATATATATATATATATAAAAAAAATGTGTGAAAGTTTTAATGTTTTTTAAAATTGACCAATCAGGTAATGACATGTTATTTATTTGTAACAAGTTAAATGTATATAAGCTGTGGTTTGTTTTGACAAATCATTCTCTGGAAGATATTTTAGCTTAGTCTGTCGACTGGAGCTTGTGAAGCTGTATTATGCTAATAATCCTGAGACTGCAGCAGCAACAATGAGAGCTTATAAAAGAAGGAACAATTAAAAACAGGATCCTTTTGCTCTATCAACAATTACTTGTCTGATGGAAAAATTTGAAACCATGAAGGCACTAAATGATAATCCTTCGAGTGGGAGACATTCCTTAGAAGCTGAGTAGACACCTCAAATTATGGGTAGTTAGTCAATAATTTGATCAAATATACAATCCTGGTTATACAACAGAATGGAGGAGCAATTAAAAATTTGTTGTAATCTCATAAACCCCATTTCATATCCATTTGTTTCACAATATATGCTGTTGTTTTCACAGTTGCTTATTTTGCATTATAATGGTTTTAAAACTTACACGCATTTATTATTATTCTGTGTGTGTGTATATATATATATATATATATATATATATATATATATATATATAATATATATATATAAAGTCATCCACACACAGACTGTTTCACTGTGTCACAGCTCCTCAGTCTGGCTAAATATTCGATCGCTTCAGGTCGGGACTGAAACCTGACCAATTTGGTATCATTCAGATATTCTAACACCTAGTCCATCGATGCCCCATGGCGAGAAAAGGTGATTTTTGCATATTTATTTTTTCATAAACACACCATATATATATATATATATATATATATATATATATATATATATATATATATATATATATATATATATATATTCTTACTTTCTTGTATATCAGAAGGTACTGTTAGTATTCTATAATTATATAAATAATGGTATATGTTCTCACTCATCGCATCAATATCTACATGAAAGTTAGTTGCTGAACAATTATATATATATATATATATATATATATATATATATAGGTTTCAGGCTCAATGAATTACTTAAATATAAGTGCAGAAAAGCTATTGTTCTAACCCACTTCCCAAAAATCTGATCAAATAGAATTTTTTTTTTTTTTGTAAAAGGTTAGTTTGGTTGGGCTAAGACCTTTTCTGTGCATCTACACGTATCTGTGTGTGTATGGACATGTGGTTAGAATATTAGCTTTCTGACCATGAGATCTAGGTTTGAATCTTACTGTGGTTGATCTGTTAGGAATGTGATCCCAGTATATGGCATTTTCAAAAAGTGTCTGAAAACCCCATCACAGGTTGATCGAAGCCTTATGAGTGAAATTGTGTAGATAGAACTGTTTGGAAACAGTCAATATTTGTGCCAACACAAAATTTCATGTCATCGTGACTGAGGGTTTGAGCATACCAGCATTGTTCTAACTGTTGATTATGACAGATTATGTGGCCTCTCTCAGAAAACTAAGATCTGCAGTATAAACCACAGGTGGGCTCTGTGGGTGTTGAATGAACACAAATCTGCCTGAGCAAGTGTCTGCAACAAAGATTGGCTAGCTACTCTAGCAGATGCAGATGTGTGCTCAGATAACAAGTAGCCAACCGCACACGCAAACTTGCATTTGTATATATACATACCATATTTGCTCATGTAACATGCGATGTTTATTTTAAATACAGCTGTACTTTTTGACTACAGTAAATGGATATATAGTTCAGTTAAGGTGTAGCCAGGGCCAGCAGTACATAGGCTAATTTTATATCTTGGGTATGATGCAATCCCCCTTAAAATTAGCTTAAAATTTAGGTCTTCAAAAGTCACATGATACACAAATATATATGGTATCTATATTTTTATTACTTCAAACATTATTATAGTGGATACTTGTATTTAAATTTGACCCCCTCCATTTTTATTTTTATTTTAAATAGTGTGCATTACTTCTATCTATCGGCCTGTGTACACATTAGGGAAATCCTAATAAAGAAAATGTACTCTCCAGCAAGGATTGAACCTACATCCCCCTTTGTAGGAGAAACCATTTTTTAATCTGCTGGTGTTCACTACTTGGCCACAAAGAGCCCCACGATATAGCAAGGCTCTATTTTTCCTTTTAATAAAATTACTTTTCATATAATAAAAATTTTAGAATGTGTTTTTGTTCTGATGGAACTTATCTAGAGAAATATGCAAATTTTAGATCTGGGTAAAAGATGTTAGTTTTTACAGATAATAGATATCAGTACAAGGGCTTTATAATTCAGGAGCTTCCTGCTTGGTGTGGTTCAATATCAGTTGTGGGGGACCTAAGGAGAAGCAAACTTACTATACAATACTGTGGTAATGACAGCTCAGTGGGTCACTGTTTTCAGTCTTCAGTTGAAGAACATGGTATACATCATAAGTATTTTTTTTCATTCATCTGATTATGAAATTAAATCAATTTAGAAAATAAAAAACAATTTTTATTCAGTTGATATTTGTTGGTGGCAGCATGGGTTTGGAAAGATGATATGAGAAAAGACAAAAAAAAAAAAGATTGTAAAAGTTGTTCTAAGTTCTGTAGGCAAAAGAGTCACTAAGATGAAGACTGAACACTTGCAATGGAACATTGATTTGAGTCAAAATAAAAAAAAATATGTAGTTTTTTCAGCCTACTTTTCATAGGCCTTTTTTTATCTGTTGACCAAAAGAGAAAAAATAAAATTTTAATTTTCAAACCTCAAATCTTGTATTGTTTTTCATTTCTATGTCTTTTATCAATTTTCTTTAATTTTCTCAGTTGTTTTTTTTTAAATTTCTCTGTTTTTGTTGTTTTTACATTTCTTTGTGTTTTTTTTTTATCTTATTTTGTTTTTTTACTTTTCTTTGTGTTTTTTTACCTTTCTTTGTTGTTTTGTTTATTTTTTTACCTTTTCTTTTTTTTAATTTTCTCTCTTTTTTAACCTATACCTTTCTTTGTTTTTCTCCTTTTTATCTTCCTCAATTTCTTTTACCTCTTGCTCATTGACATTCTCTCTTTACCTTACTCTGTTTTCCCTTTTTTATATTTTGGTTCTTTTTTCTTTTTCTTTTTTGTTTTTTTACCTTTCATAAACCAATTTTCAGCTGAAAAATTCAATTGTCAAAATATCAATTGTGACATTTTCTTTTCTTTATTCTTTATTCTTTCTTTATTTATTCTTTCTTTCTTTCTTTATTCTTTCTTTCTTTCTTTCTTCTTTCTTTCTTTCTTCTTTCTTTCTTCTTTTCTTTCTTTCTTCTTTTCTTTCTTTCTTTTTCTTTTCTTTCTTTCTTCTTTTCTTTCTTTCTTCTTTTCTTTCTTTCTTTCTTCTTTTCTTTCTTTCTTTCTTCTTTTCTTTCTTTCTTTCTTCTTTTCTTTCTTTCTTTCTTCTTTTCTTTCTTTCTTTCTTCTTTTCTTTCTTTCTTTCTTCTTTTCTTTTTCTTTCTTCTTTTCTTTCTTTCTTCTTTTCTTTCTTTCTTCTTTTCTTTTCTTTAGCATTTAAAATTAAAAGAAAACAAAATCACAATCTACAATATATCATCCAAATTTTGAACTAAATTACCTAAAAACTTATTCAACCGTAAATGTAATCCCATAGGCAAAGAACCTGATTAGCTTGGTTTAACATTCCTGTTTACTAACCTTCATCTGACCCATTGACAAATATGATGAAATTGGAGGTGAGAAGATGGTGCTACACCAAATCCAATTCATGAAAGCTTGATTTCATCCGCATGCTTATGTTGACAATTTTGTGTAAACACATTTACTAGGCTTAAATTTGGTTACCGCCTCCTAATTTCCAAAACTGCTACAAGGAGACACTCTCAGCACTTTAAATACTCTGCCATATTTTTCTCGCCCTCTTCTTACATGTTGACGTGTAAGCAGAAAAACTAAGTCTCTCATGGAAAAACACATTCCCTTTGGGAAATGCATGAACAATATACACAAGTACGTACATACACAAGTTCACTCACTACACATATTTTGGACCAAAACGGTTTTTCACATTCATTACACACACACACACACACACCTTTGTCTTTGCCACTTGTAGCCCTTTGTTGTTAATACATTATCATTTCTTTGCGTGTGTGTGTGTATATATATTTTTGTTTGTGTGTGTATTTTTTTTTTTTTTTTTTATAACTTTTCATCCCAAGCAAGGCTGGAGTGCCACTAGCATACAAGGGGTTACATAGTGTGGGAGCAAGAGTAAAGAGGTGTGAAAGAGAAAAGGATTAAGAGAAGGTTGGGAATAGATCAAGGCAACTGGAGATGTCGATTGACATTGCATTTGAATAGTTGGAGATTATAACTATCAGGGAAGCAAGTAAGAGGAAGGGGGCGTGAGACATGAAGCTATTGAAGTAGAAGAAATGGCTAAATTTAACTGTTTCAATAGTGAAAGAGTGGGACTTGAGATGCCAACCTGGTGGCACATTTAAATTCATGCAGTTTGGGAACTAGTGAAAATAGTTCATCGGAGCAGTTACCATGAAAGTATTTGTAGAAAAGACAGAGGGAAGTGACGAGATGTCTGTGAGAGAGCGACTGTAGACAAGATGCCAGATCAGGACCGGTCATATTGCATATCTGTCTGGATTTTGTCAAGGACCCTAAGACGAACAGCAGGGCCCCAGACCATTATATGGCAGCAATATTCCATGCAAGGGCGAATATATATTGGTTCTGGTCACTTCTTTACATGCACTCGCATCCCAAGTCTGCCATGTTTGTTGTGAGTATTTTAGGAAACATGTTTATCTCCCAATGCATATGCTGGTCTGCAACAACTTAATAACTCCCCGGCCATCAGATGGAAGAAGAAAGATTTTATTGTGTCGATCTTTCCAGTAGGGAGAAAATGCTAGCCTTGAAAACAGTGTGTCTTGCCCAAACTCAAATATAACCACTGAAGATGGTGGCAGATTCACAAACATGTATCCCATCTATTGGGTCCGTTTTTATATTTTTTATTTATTTTTATTTTATTTTATTTTTTATTTTTTTATTTATTTTTTTTTTTTTGGAAGTGCAAGTTCAAAAAATACTAAAAGATTTTAACTCATTAATATTTTGTATTAAATCACAATTGATACATAATAAGTAATAAAAACAAGCATAGGGAAACAAAAAATACTGATTGATTTGTCTTTTTACAGCTTACCAATCTTTTGCACATTATTTAAAGCCAGAAAGTATTTTTTATATTGCAAGAGTTTTTTTTTATATAATAATGATTAAAACTGATGCAATTCCTACTTGTTAACCCACAGCTAGGGAAGAAGAGGTATATTCTTATCTTTCTCAAGGATATTTGCATGGAAGTGAATTTAACAAACCCCACTGGGATTGGAACTCAGCTCTGATTTCCAATTTTGAGTTGTTATTCATTACACCACCCACACATCCAGTCTTGCAGCACACAAAATTCTCAAGTGATCACCTATCTAGTTACTGACCAGGCTCAACATTGCTTAACTTTGATGATCATACGAGATGCAGTGTTTGAATTAGAGCAGTGCAATTACATGTTCAGGCACATCTGAAAAAAATAAAATAATTTCAGCATTCTAACATCTTTTTTCCTCTTGGCACAACAATTGTAACCAACTTTTGCATTTATAAATCTCTTTTCCCTCTCTTATAATTCCATCAATAAAAATATTCATTTTTATTTTTAGTTTGTCTTCTCGAAGGACTTCATTATACTAACACAATACACATAACTTTTTCCTCTTGGTCATACATTTATCTCATTAAATGAAATTCAAAGGTAAACTAGTGTTCGTCTTATCTGGTTTTCACATATCAAAAGTACTTCTCTCAAATGAGAAAAACACTGGTGTTATATAGTTCTCTTAATCCCAGACCCATGCTGATTATTGGCTACTACCTGTCCAGTATTGCTCACATGCAAATAGTCTGTGCCACCTACTCTAAGTAGAAGGTCTCTCAACAGCCCATTGTGAAAGGGGACGCAACTCCTGGTTCTTACAGCACCACATGCAACCATCTCTGAGTCTTTTATCAGGCTGACCCGATTCTCTGTTACAAATCTGTTTGCTAATAAGTTGTATAATAGTCTGTCCATAATAAATAAATCCGTAAATTAAACAAAGAAATACTGAACTCTTGTAAAGTGAAACTTATACATATGATCCATTGCCGTAATGCTCAGGCTGAGCCCCTTCTGCTGTCCTCTACGTTTAAGAGCCAAATCAGGTCAAAAATGGAGTGTTGTTGTTATACTTGAGTGGGAGCTGCCCAGTCCTTACTCTCTAGCCTTGATAGAGTTTAAAAGTGTCTCGAAGCCCTTGTGGGTGACAAACTATTCTCCATCCTCCAACCTCTCTCCCACAGACATGATGTTGCAAGCGTCTCGCTGCTCTACCACTTGACTATTTCCACAGAAAGTGTTCAGCAGACGAACTACATTTCCTTGGTTTGCAGAGGCAAACTTTGACAGCAAGAACGCGTCACGTAACTTACAAAGTAGCAAACCACCAACATTCCCTCCGTATTCCATCGATGAGAAATAAGTTCGACTCGAGAGGCTTCTTCCTACGAACCACTGCCCTGTAGAACCGATTCTGTAGGCGTTCTGAAAGCAAAGGAAGTATTTGTCGCAAATTACTTCCACAACACAAAGAAAAATCACTGTAAGTACAAACTCGAATATCGGGGGCAGAAAAAAATGCTGAAAACTTGATTTGCCGGTACTATCTCAAATCTCAATGCGTGTAACCAGTCAGAAAAATAATTCACTCTCTAACAAACGCCGAAGCCAAAAATGCCCGAATTTTCCGCTCCGAATCGAGAACACCAACTGCTTTTATCGGCAGAACCTGGGATAGGATACTCTGTAATTTGCATATCAAAATACTTTTAGCGACTCCTGCGACGGACTTGTTTCTTTTTCGTCACTTGCTCGTTGTAGAATACAGGCGACACGGCGTCGCTTGTTTTGACGAGGTAAGTCGCCGTTTTCTTCGCTATAAGATTTTTACTGACTACTTTTTGGTAATTTTCCTTCGGCAGATCGCACACAAAACACGAACTTTTTTCCGGGGTACCTGATTATCTCTTTCACTACAGATTCCCAACAGGATGTTTTTACCCGATCACTACAATCCTAACCTGTTCAAGGCTAAGATTAACCGTTGTCTTCCACTCCTATACACACAAGTGACCTTCAAACATAACCCTCTACCCCGAATGCCCCCCACGGTCCTTGTAAATGGTGAAGATCGCTTAAAAACATGTAATCTATGTTCTCCGATATGACAGTAAATGCTAGATAATCTTACAATGCAAACGAAAAGAAACTAAGGGAATTAACTCCTTAATAGGTTACATTAAAAGTTACTTCCCTTTTCCCCTCCATTCTGTTACTGTTGGTGAAGCTTCAATCGTTCAGCGAGTCTGGTTGACCTTTATTGAGTAATCATTTCATTACTTGTGATCCTATGCAGAAACTAAGCTATGTTGAGTAAGTAATAACTTTACTGTTGTTTCTGATGCGATTTAATAATTGAATTCGTTTCGTGTGAAATAAGCGAACAAAAGAAAAAAAAACCCTTCAAATACACAAAACAGAAAAGAATAGTAAGCCAAGGATGTGTCTTCTCACCAGACTTATTCAACCTTTACAGTGAAACGATCCTAAGAGAATTTGAAGTCCTACCTGGATTTATTATTGGTAGACATAATCTTAAAAACGTTATATACACAAATGACAAGGTAATAGCAGATACAGAAAGGAAACTGTTGGAGTTCTGTTAGCTCGTTAGTAACGTTGGTAAAAGTTCAGAAGAGATTTCAGAGTTTGTACTTGCATGAATGTTGGTAATAGTCTTTAACGTCTGACCGAAATGGTTAAGACGGGAGTTCTTGAAGATTACATCTTGGCACTTGGTAGCAACGAATGAGACGTGCGAGAGAAAGATGAATAGAAAGAAAACTCGAGGGAGTTTACACGTGTTGGGTTTATATAATGGTCGTGTACCACGTGGTGAGGCTTCCAGCATATGAGCGGGAAAACAGATTGGTCGCGTGCAGGCGGTTTAATTGGTCGGAATTGACCAATCAGCAAGCTAGATTGAAGGTGATTGACCAATGAATACTTGTTATATATTTTGTAAGATTGTAATGGTGAAAATTATAAGAGGAATTGTGCATTTCCTAGAAGGGGTTAACTAGCTTGTTGTGGAAGATTCCACAAGCGCTCACAGATACAGCGTTTCCCAAATGCTGGGAACACGCTAAGAACAATACACGTACGTACGAACACTCAACACAACACATAATATTCACCACACGCAATCTGTCCATGTAACTTGTAACCTTTAACTTGTTGGTAATACATATATTTGTTTACATATATTTATCGGTCTTGTTTTCTTTGGACTTAATTAAAGTCCAACTTTATCATGTAGTTGGACCGGCTAGCAGGAAAAATTCTACCCACATGTGTTCTACATACTCATCACCACC